CGGCAAGGCCAAGACTGACGCGAGAAATGGCGATGTCGTGTGTTTGGTGGGACTGAAAAGAAATCGTGCATTGAAAGTTGCTGCCGCCTAAGGAAGCAACTGATTCAAATTCCTACTGTCGACAAGTCATAAGATTATAACAAGTTATTAGAGAAATCGACCGTAACTAGCGGACGCAATAAGCGAGATCTTTCACTGGGGTAGCACGAAAACACAAATATTTTTAACTACCTGGTATGGGGAATTTTAGTGTGTCTGCCGTAGAGCTCGGATATGATCTGTTCAGTCTCTTCAGTTAATTGTGTTGACTAAGGTTTAATAGAGAAATGCAAAAATTACTTGGCTTATGCCGTTACCAACGAAACACTACAAGGTCATCGGTTTAAATGACGTACATTTAATTTGCTAAGACTATTTTCAATATTTGCTCCAATTCTGACTCAAAACGGTTAATCTTTTTCAAACAATAAGCAATTTATGTCTACATTAGATACTCATAATGTTATAATTCCCGTCTGAAAGCGGTCCTGTATATAAGGAGCTACTTGACGCCAAAAAGATCATCGTAACCCAGTGGAAGCTTCCACGTTAGGAGCAACATTTAATCGATCAGCCCGGCGCGTCAGCTGAGAGACGATGATACGGCTTCGTTTGTTTTACGGACCTTTTAATATAGGAATATAAATAAGAGCTTCAAAATATAACGCCTTTTTTCTTTAAAGTTTTTTTTTTTTAAGTACGATGACGTTTGGGAGTTAGGAACGATACCGTGAAAGGCGAACGGGCGTCGTAAATGCTGCATTACGTAAAGTGTAGCGGATAGAAATTGTGCTCTGTACAGGAAACAATTATTTCGTGAAACCGAACCTTTAGAGCCAATTTTACTGTTTACGATAAAATTGCCACCTTTATTAAGATTACGAGGTGTCTTTGTTTCTTTAAAAACTACACCGGGTTCTCATGAATAGATGAAATTAATTTAATTACGGTTCTAATTGGGTCCATTATTACAAGGAACTTTGAACCTTTGATCGAGTTGTCTAAGATGTTACAGTACCACACAGCTGCTTTTCCCGAAACGCTTCTCATGGGCCACGAGTGTGCTGTTGCAACCATTTTCAATGTAGTTTGTTCAAAACATATAGAAGAGATCGTCTTCGTAGATCCAAATCCATTGCCTAGCCAAAATGTGTAAATGTGCCTTTGCTATATCAGCGTAAAGCCAACAGCTTTAGTAGTTTAAAAAAGCGCACGATTTTTACTTAGCAATGGTACTCCTGGCTAGTTGTAAAACATATACTTGAGTTGGGCTAACATTAAATCGATTCCCCGCTTCCCTCGGTCGATGGTCATAGGGCGGATATGACGATCTTCTGCCGCGATCATTTTGATTTCGGTACACGGAAAACTAATCCTATTAACGGCTCATTTTATAATGCTCAATGTAGGCGTTATGCTCCAAACGTGTCCAAAGTAGCTTGATTGAATTTTTTTACGTCAAACGTTAGAGCGTTCAACGCTAACCACATAGCATTCCCTTAACTTAGAGGTGATCGTCTGATAACGTAGTCTGGTAGAAAAAAGTATTGTTCATTTACGATGTTAGTGTGATCCGTACCTGTGGGTATGAGCAGGCCCCTGGAAATGCACATACGTGACTTTTGTTATTTTAAAAGTAAAAGCATTTGGCTATCGAGCTTGTTTTTCAAAAAAAAATGGAATATGTTTCATGGCCACCTTTGTTTGAGGGAACAAAAGACGCGGCGCGAAGTATTTTCGAAGTATTTGAACTGCTAGCCATGCCGGAAAGTAGAACGCAAACAAAACAGGGGTTAGTTAGAAAGGACCTAACCCTTTACTGATCTAGAGTATCGGTGATGTCGCTGACCCAGTGAGTCAAGAAAACAACTTTTTAGAGTCTTCGTGTACCTAGAGTATCTCCTAGAGTACTTCTATCGGGAAGTAGATACGCCGTCGCTTCAGATTCTCATTCATTGCTCTGCTGCCCGCTGACTCATCGCAGACTCGCTCTCAATGTATCAAGCGTGTTTTTTTATAATGGCTCGTATTGTCTGCTTAACTTTTAGTGAAAGTTACTCCCAAAGGAAACCAAAAGTATTACTCTTATCACATGAAAATGCCGAAAACTCATTGTCACCACGAGAATTGGCTTATGCTGACATACATTTTATAAGGCACCGTTTCCATAGTTGTCAGGTTTTATTGGCGTATAATTAGCAAGGGAAATGATAGTGCCACTTTTGTTCTGGTGCATCTTCAAGAAATCGCACTTTCACGGAACACGGAAACGGCTTGCTCTAGAAGCCCCTATTGTTATTAACGTAAACCTACCTCCACATTAGTCGAACATTTCCGGGCAAATCGACTTTACGCTGGCGTTATCAAGTGAGCAGAAATGAACAAACGAACGCATAGACAGTATCTATAGGCCAAATGACGGTTGCTAAAAGGATGAAACGATATGTTCGCAGCTATCATTGCTGTAGTTAGTGCAGAAGCACAGGAATGATGCTAACGTTATTCAAGGAAGAGGCTGGCTTGTATGTAGGCGAGTCGAACAGGCAAGGGATGTTATCTCTGTATGAATACGGAGGATATACTTCTTCTAGGAATTTCCCCGGTAAAAAAACCAATAATCTTCCACCGATATCGCAGCTGCGTCGTTCGCACCGCGCACCTCCTATACGTTCTGCTGTTTCATCTAACGGTGCACGAGCTTTTTGATGAGGGGATGTCCTCCGAGTACGTATTGAGGTTGGGGTATGGCTGTCCGCAGTCTAGCTGAACCGACCGTACTTGTCTATCCTTCCCGACCGCATTCCCAGATCTTGCCAGCGCAAGAATTCCCGTCAAGTTTTCTTGCTTCATCTTGCTGTTCCCAAGCTAGCCATTATGACTTATAACCATGGTAAGAAAAACATTCGTCCATGTAAGCGGTAGCTGACCGATCGTTCATAAACGTGCTCTATAATGCATCTTTCATGCAACGAGTGAGCCATTGTATCTTGTAGTATACATAATGTGTGGCAGTCTTGGTTCCCTCGAAGCATTACGTAGCACAGCCAACATTAGCAATTCTACCATCAATCTCACTTCTAAGAACCGACAGGTCAGCTTATCTTGTCACAATTCCGGTCTCTACTATCACCGCCGCCAATGTACCGTACATAGTCTGCCAGTTTCGGCTAGCTCTCATTTAAACTATTCGTAGTTTTCTAACAGATCGCTCAAATGGTAAACAAAACTGTTATCGAGACTTCCAGGGTGATGAGTAGACGCTACATGCTGACCTTATGGACGGCAATCCATGACTGCGTATGAATCCGTGTATCTCTAAGGCGGGTAGCACGTGTGTAATCCATATTCTAGCTCTGAGGTTGCGGCAAAGAGATTGCGGTTCACGTTATTTTCAAAACAGATGTAATGTAACTCTGTTTTGTTGGGGACTAGCTGGGGTCGGGGTTAGGCCCGATCACTTCTTCTGTGCACGCACTCGACTGATCTAAAATCAGCCGGAGTGGCTGGGGGTGCGTTCGCTAGGATCGGCCGTCAGTTGCTACCGTCGACGATAGCTAGGCCAAAAGGCTCGACCCTTTCAGTGGGTGATGTGGCTGTACGTGTTTGAACAGTATCCTCCTATCCATGCTGGCTGCTATATTAGAAAGTGCTCGAATAATACTGGCTACAAGTCAAGAGGATCGTCTTCTCGTTTACATTCTTGCCTTTCGAATCCCACCGCTGCTGTTCCTACTACGACTGCCACCACCATTTCCAACACATCAGTGGCATGGACGATGCCGCCGCTCAGATTTTAAGTGTCGGTGCTCTAGAAACGAGTAGCAGTAGCAGACCAATAGGAGCACGGCGCAGTGGCTTGAGGTTCTTTTGTCACGACAATTCCCGTAATGTCACCTTATCTGCTCCGCTTCATTCGCTTTTTCTGCTTTCCCCGCTGATCTTCTGGATCTTTCTTGCTACCTTATATATTTCACCCACTCTTGTTCCTCTCTTACTTGCACTTGTCTTTCCTGGATCGCGTTGCAGCACTAAAGGTTGTCTCCCGACTTCAACCCGTGCCCTTTAGCCCTGGTCCGTTACCCTTCATTCGGACAAAATTAGGGCTCCTATTCGAAACCCATTCAGACCTGCTATCCGCCTAACCCTCTATCTCGCATGGCTTATCGATCTCTACGGGAGTTACTCACACATTTAACGTGAATGCACGCCATATTGGAATCTGGCCGAGTATAAGCGTCGACAAGACCCAAGCGAAAAAACTGAACAAACTTAATCTCTACGGCCCCTTTTCACAGTGTTGCGAACCACTTGTCAGGCCAAATTAGACTTTCAAATTTTTAGCGTGCTGCTCAGTACAGTTGCGTTGGCCTGAAAAACGTTTCCCGCCCTTCGCAGTGTTGTCTCTTTTCGATAGTTACCACCCACCACATTGCTATACAAACACTTCTAATGGCAGGGTAAAGGCTTCATGTTTTCTGTCAGATTCCTCAACAATATGCTGACTCAATGGTTCGAGGCTAAATTATACAGTCACACAATTGCTCGCTGAAGATGAATGTGAGTGGCATCGACTTTAACGGTAGGAACTGATGGAGAATCAAAGCATAACTCAGCCGGTCGGCACAAGAACGCGCTCGTTACGCACTCTGCCCGCACATGTGTCGCTCGATTGCGGTCAGTTGAAACGACCCCAGCCAAACGGATAGTTTTGCTTAGGACATAGCAATAACAGAATTTCTTCCTTGCTCTCGTCTCGTTTTATGATTTGTGCATTCATTTTCCAAACGGGGCTAAGTTGGCATATATGGATGCGACATAAGTTATGGCAGCTGACTCATGAAACGGCTACGCCGTTAGCGCGCTATTTAAATGAACGCTTTGGCTGCGGCAGGCCATACGCTTCGTCTCCCTGCAAACGTATTATGGCATCTCTATGTGCTAATTTGGGCCACCAGATGAATCTTAACGCATCTGCTCAGAATGACGGCGACCCCAATATGCCTGTTGAAGTTAGCGGACTTGATTTGCATTGTAAGGAAAATGCCTCCATTCATCGTACCAACCGCTATGCACTGACGAGCTGTGGGGAAGACTCGAGTTTAGTGGTTCGCCGCGGTCAGGTGATAAAGGCAAGTTTTGTGTTCAACCGACCGATCAACTGGGCTACCGACCAGATAGCCTTAGTGTTCTCCGGCCAAGGCTCGTCAACTTCCGGAATTCCCAACGAGTTTGCTTTAGGGATTCCGGCGGAGCTCACTAGCGCTGAACAGATGCCGCCTAAAGCTAGTGACTGGTCAGTTGCGCTAACTTTTCATCAAGGCAGAATCATTACCGTAGCAGTTCTATCTCCTCCCGATACCCCTGTTGGCCTTTACAAGATTCACTTTGATATTCGTCATGCAGTTTCGAATTCACAACGTAAGTCTGTTATGCAGGAGTCAATCTACATGCTGTTCAACCCCTGGCACCCAGAGGACCTAGTGTTCATGAACGACGAGGACTGGCGCACGGAATATGTCCTCAATGACTATGGCAAGGTGTATCAGGGCACGTACAACAGTCCTGTTGGCAAATCCTGGCATTTTGGCCAATTTAACCCAATCGTATTGCCAACAATTAGTTATCTTATTGAGTTAGGAAAAATCACTGCTGAGGAACTGCGGAGTCCTGTAGCAATGACGAGACGCCTTTCAGCTCTAGTTGATCAGACCGATGATGCGGGTATCCTTCGTGGTCGTTGGGATAATGACTACAGCGACGGAGTGTCACCGATGACCTGGAGCTCTTCAACTTCTATTCTTGAGATGTACATGCGTCGAGGTGGAGCGCCTGTCTACTATGGCCAGTGCTGGGTGTATGCTGCTTTGCTAACAACGCTTGCACGCGGGTTGGGAATTCCTTGCCGGCCAGTCACGAACTTCGAATCAGCTCACGATACCGACGGCAATATGTGTGTAGATTCCTATACTGACGAAAATGGAACACCCATCGAAGAAGCCAATAAGGATTCGTCTTGGAACTTCCATCTGTGGAATGAAGGCTGGATGAAGAGGCCCGACCTAGGAACTACCGAGTTCGATGGCTGGCAAGCTTTTGATGGTACGCCTCAAGAGAAGAGTAATGGACAATATCAGGTATTTTTACAGTTAATTTATTTATTGCAATATTCGTGCTCTTCGCACGCCATCTATCACTGTAGACTTAAAAACGGCTTCAGTGCAATCAAAGGTTCTCATTTAGCCGTTATGAATAACGCCTAACTGTAATGAGGAGTAATAGTATTAAACGATATAATAACAAAAGTAGCTTTCTAAAACAATTAGGGTATTCCTCGTAATTCTCCCAAATTCGAACCAAATATTTAAGGAGATGGGTTCATTACTTTATTCATGTACAGACCCTCAAGAAAAACTCGCGGAACATTTTCGAATTTCAGCTACAAGTATCTCCAGAGAGAGCAAGAGCTCCAGAAAAGCATGTTTATTTGTATGTATAT